TGGACAGATTTTTTTTATGATTATTTAGTTAACATTTAATTCAATATTTTAAATGTTTCGACCACGACGCATTCGTCCTCAACGTTTGATTCATACGTTGCCATTGTGCCAATGCGTTTCAAATACGTTTCGGGCATTTTATAGGTTTCCTGGTTTCCAGGCGACACACTTCATGGGACTTAACAGGCAAAAGGGTTATTTTATTTACTTGAGCACAGCACAGTATTTTGCACGTGCTTTTTGGTCTCCCTATGAGCACGAATTTGATCAATTTTTGCATTTATGCTGAACTTGCAGTATTTGCAAAAGCCTTTGTTTTTATCACTTTAGTCCTTTGTTAACCAATTTTTAAAATCTGGCTGGTCAAGCCAGAAATTGCGAAATTTTTATTTATACCCCTCTTTAGGCATTTTGGCAGAAATCACAAAATTTTTGCTTTTGTATATTATTTTGTTTGTATTCTTCTTTAGGCAATTTGACAAAGTGAGTTCGATATTATACGATTACACACAATATCGGTAACATGTTGCTTAAAAGAGATGCCACATAGTTTGCAAAAAAAAAAATGTGGAATTATACCAATTATACATTGTCTAAAAAGGACAGATTTCTGGATAGAAAAACTTAAAAAAGGACAGATTTCCGGGTGGGGGCTGTTTGACGTTTTTTTCGGATGAAGCAGTAAAAAGCAGGACAGATCTGTCCGCAAAAGGCCTAAATTGGCATCACTGATAAGAAGTGAAGCACAAATCCCCGTTAGTTAAGCACAACATTGTCATCCCTTTCTGTCAGAATAGAAGATCGAATGCGAAACTCGTGCATTGCGTCATTGGTAACTTGCTCTGAAAGTGGACCGTTGGAATAAAGTTATATTAAGCTTTGATATCAGAAGTGCTCTTTACTCACAATGCCTCACAATGAAAATAAGCGCACTCAAATCCAAAAGAGAAGAAAGACAGTATATAGGGAGGATCGACAAAGGGAAAAATCAACTTTATTGTTGATGTTGTTGTTGTTATCGCAACCTGTTGTAGTCCGTGACCATTTATTCCGTACACAAAAATAATTTATTTCAAATTGTCCCTTTGTTCAAGCTCGCTTTTTTTTGGAATCAGTTTTCTTTTTGATTAGGTTAATTCGGTTTAATATAGACGTACCGCTCCATTTTCAGTCGCGCGAAAGCGCTTTCTGCGAATCTGTCGGGAGGGGTATAAGGGTTTTATATCACTTTCGGGGTTGTTACCACGGCACTATTCCCCATAGTGACCTGATTTTTTGGCATAAATTAATATCTCGTGAACTATTTAAGATACGATGATAATTTTTTTTTAGTCTTATACACACCTTTATAATTATTTTGGCAAAGTGAGCGTGTCGGACTTGTAAGTCTTATTTCTGGATTCTGTAGCCATTCTCCAAAATAGCCGACAGGAAGAACTGTGTTTTCAAGAATCTGTTTGGAGTGAACCAGAATCTTGTGGAAGCCAGGGAAGCTTGTCAATAATTAGTTCCCCGGTTTTATGGCCAGAGCGTCTTCAGCGGTAGAGCGCACAAGATGTTGTACGGGCTTGCTTATCCACTTCCTAATGATCTTCGCTTTAGCTGGGTTAAAGACTAGTATTTTAAGTACTGCAGCCAGATCGTTGAGCCCCTTCTTCTGTGCTGGTACACTCGACGCTTGCAACAAAGGGTTATGTTTCTGGGTAATAAAAAAAAATTGAAATTTGTATTAAATTAGTTCTTGCCCGAAACAAAACTAAAAGGCGAGTTATTTTTAAAACCATTAATATTGCTAAAAATATTGGCTTCAAAGTGGCTTGTTTATAATCAAGGAAGTAACAATAGAAAACGAACCTCATTACTTGAAGTCTCAAATGAGAAACCTTGCTAAACCTTTAATAATAAAAAATATTCTGTATTTTACGACATTTCGCATGGTATCAAGTCTATAAGGGATATTTATCAAAAAGCTAAGTTTAGCTTTTTTTTAGCTTCCCCTTGTGAGGAGTCTTAAAATCGAGGTGCAGGGGAATATAGAAGGAGTTAAGGGCAACCAGGTCAAAGGGGAAATAATGGACCTTGGACCCGAGCAAAGCGGAGAGACCGTGAACTTGGACTCAATCTGGCCAAGGGCACAGAGGTCGAACGGTAACGGTGCGGGCTTTGGACAAGCACAAAGAGGACGCACCGTGAACTAACGGGATCTGGGTTGGACCTTTATACAAATGTAAATTTGTATTAAATTATATCTTGCCCGAATCAAATATAAAAGGCGATTGCTTAAAAATTATTATTTATAAAAACATTAATATTGCTGAAAATATTGTATTTAAAGAAATGATGTTATTTATGATCAAGGAGGTAACAATATAAAATGTTCCTCATTTCTTGAAGTCACCAATGAGAAACTTTAATTTAACTTTAATAATTAAAAATATATATTTTATGTCATTCCGCGTCTCTTCAAGTCTATAAGGAATTATTTTATTTTGAAACTCCTGACAGATTAGTTGACTTTGATGTCATACGAGAGGTATGTATGTATACGAATTACAGTGGCTCGCAGATTATTTCGCGCAGTAGCTAAACAAAAGTTATGTCGTAACTAAAAAGATAACGGAAAGATGTAAACGCAGTATTTTAACTAGAAGTTCAAACATATTTAATAGGCAAAAGCGATTTTCTTAATTATAAATCAATACAAATATTCAACCAAAACAAAATTTTCGGGCTTTTTCATTAGCTTATTATTATTATATATTTCGTACAGTTCGTTCTGCTTAACTTTTTAAGCTCGTATTTTGTGTGTCCTCTTTTCTATTTAAGGCCACCCTTAAGACGTTTTCCCATTGAAGAAATTAATTTTTTAGTTGTTGTGATCTGGTATTCCCTGACGAATCTTTGAATTATGTATTGCTCCGTGCTTAGGCACAATTTCTGCAGTAACCCGCATCCTTTTTTCATTTTTAAAATGTTTAAGAACAAGTTCCCGCTGATCAATAGATGTTCCCATTTCGGTGAATTCCCGGAATCTTGATATTGAGGTGTGACCATGCTCGAAAACATAGAATATACATATTTAAAAGCCATATTAACATATGTACATTAAATTAGCGTAGAAAATAAAATAGTTAACTCTGAGTTGACGTGAAAAAATATCATTTTACATCATGGTTTGTGTCTTGGCTTATGCGTGCTGTGTTATTAGAAGCGAACTAAATGTTATTTAAAACAGGCAATACACGAAGATTTAAATATTATAGTTATATTTTATTTATATATTTGGTTGAACAGAACCCAAACGAAAAAAAATACTCTGTTTCGGTTCATTTGTTTTCTAAAAAACTCTACCACTCCGGTTCACTATGCGGATTAGCCTAGACCATTTTCAATGCAGTAAAAAAGAGGAAAAACGTTTGTTGATTTGTCGAAAAATCTTGATTTTTAAGCAGTTTTAAAATTTTTGAAATCGGGTGCATGGTTACCAGATTAAAACACGCCAGTAGTTGATTAGTTAATCTTTTTCATTTTGCGATATGGTATATTTTGAGCTTTATATTCTTCCAATGATGTTGTTAAACTTATTTTGTTAATATATAGTGTTTTTTTAGACTTCTGTGAATATTGAATGTTAATTTAAAATTAATATTAAAATTACTCGAAAATAAATAAAAGGGTTTGGATGGTTTTTTAGGCTGAAGCGAATTATGGGATTAACTTTCTATGAAGCATGCAAATGGATTAACTTACAGGTCTACATTGAAATACTGCGAAATTTCAACAACAACAAATTTTAAGAGTAATCTGGTAAGGGTAATCAATTTATATAAAAACAAATACTTGCTGACATTAAAAAAACTTTTTTTTCTTTTGGCGATAGCTTACAGGGCAAATGTTTAATATTAATTAACGATGTTTACCAAACATCATGGAGTCGCCAACAATTTCGAACTGGTTTGATTCTCTACTTAGTTGACATACGTATCTTTAGAATTATCTAGAAATATTCCAAAAAGTCATCACTGCTTTTTTGAACTCCTTGTTGACAAAAGCTGTCTGCTATATCAAGCTGAGCTTTACACTAAGAGAATTTACAAGACCCACAATTTAGAAGTCGACTTTTTTTTGGGTTTTTAAAATTGTGATAGTGCTCCAATAAAATTTCCAGCTTAGATATTATATTGAGAAATCGTATTATTGATAATAATTTAGTTTATTATTATTTAAACATATATACACATATTTACTAAAATGTTGAGCGGAGTACAAATAAGTAATGCAAATAAAATGCAGCATTGTGGTTGTTTTTCTACCCTTCCCCTTGCCGTAAAGTTTTCTCCTTGTATTTATGTATGCATCTGTCTCAATCTCATTTTCACTCTCTCTCTCTCTCTCTCTGTTTGCTGCACCTTAATAGCTTTGCGGAAAATGCATTGCAAAATGCGAACGCAAACTTAGTTCACTTCTCACTCTCACGCAGTGCATTCGCTAAAAGTGTATTTTTGCATGTTCAATAAAGCATATCGAATGTAATACTGAATGAGCTATTTGTTGTAGAGCCTTAGTGAGCTCAAACATTTTGATTGTATCAGATGTTGAAGTCCTCGGAAATGAATTCATTATAATTAATTAAGGTGCTCACATGCTTGGTGCAGTGTAAAACGTTCAATAGAAACAAACATTTTCTTGGCAGAGTGAAACTGGCCAGGAAACGAGTTTTGTCGCACTCGCACACACCCGCAAAATTCTCGCGTAAACATGTCTTCTTTGTCCCTCCTGTTTTTGCATTTAGTTGCATCACACACACGTACGCACACGTACGTAATAAAAGCACGTGTTGTGTTTGCTCCCACCACCACTTTTAAAACAGTTGCGATTTTAGATTGTGTTTGTGAGAGCTGGTCTGGCTGCCTTTCTTTTGTTTTGTTATTGTTTGTTTTTTTACCATGGCTTTGTTTACTTTACTCTTTTTTTCATACAAGCCTCGTGTATTTTGTTTTTGTGCTTGACTCTTTCGGCCTTATTGAATGTGTGGGCCATAACAGATATAGCCAAGATATTGGTTATGGGTGCATATAGTCCACACATCTGTATTTATGTAGCTTCAAATTCGAGCTCAAGTTCCCTTATAACCATGCTCGCTTGGGTGAACCGGTTTCGAGTTTTGTCGCACCGCAAAAACCTCTTGTATTCTGATTAGTTCCCACACATATCAACAGGTAGCTGCAGCTCGAGCCGCTTGTGTGTGAGTGAACTTGCCACCGCGGACACATCGGAAGTTGCTGCCCAGCTAGCCAGCCGCCGCCAAATGCTGAAATTCCGAAATACAGAATCTCTGAACTTCCCCAGAAGTTCAAACGCACACACACACAAATAGAACTCACAATGTAGCGCAACAAGCTCCTCCGTCCCCCACACGCCCCGCTGTCTTGACCGCGCTCTCGAAAACCTGCTGCCGCTGCACAGAAATCAAAAGTGAACTCACTGCACGCGGCCCTTTCCCATCCCCTCCCGCTCAACTCGTCGGAGAGCCCCTCGTTGGGCGCCAAATAAAAACGAACGGCAGTTCGTTGCCTTCGTTCTTGCTTCGCGTGCTTCGTATCTTGATTTGTGCCCGGTTCTAGTTGGCTAAGCCATTCGGCTGACACTCGGTCCGTCGCCTCGGCGCTCGTCGGCTCTCTCTTCGGGTGGGGCTGCGGCGCTCGGCCCACTCCCACTCCACTCGGCCCCACTCGCAGTCAGTCGGCAGGCAGAGCAAGAGCAGCCCGCAGCTTTTTCGTGGGGAGATCGCAGTTCTTCGCTTGCCAATCGATGTCGTTCCGGAAATCGTAGTTCTTAGGCTTTGTTTGATTCGGTTACACGGCAATTGGCGGTAATTAGGAGCAGTGGCCATCACATTAATTATTGATAGTACGCGCGGCAGACAAGTTGGCCCCGCGATAAGCAAATCGCCAGTTTGCCGAGTGAGAGGCAGAGTGGAATGCATTTGATTAGATTGCGATGTGTTTGTTCGGCCGTCATTGTTGTCAATAAACAAAAGCTGGCTTGCAGTCACAGCGACTAGGAGGTTAACCTGACTTACCCGTTTCGGTTTTGAATTCGGTTTAATTGCGGCTTTCTCGAGCGAGCCGCGCGATTTTGGCAGTCTTGCAGAATGAATTTCGTTGTGCACCGGAAACAACCGAGAACGAAATAACAATCGGCCATTCACAAAGCCATAAAGCACCACCCTGAAATCGTCTGAAATATCAATCGTATTGAAAAATGTGTGTCATAAGTGCAGAAGTGAAGTGCAGCTTAATGCGAAAAGTCACGAAAGTGCAATTGATTTAAATGAATTTTTGTTTAATTTGTATAAATATTTTCACTACTCGTAACTCGAGAGCCCGACCCACAAAAGTCGGAAAAGTGCAAGTTCATGGGGAAATTTAAATACCAATTTGTGCAAACTGATGGGCAAAATCGGAATGGTGATACCATTTAAAGGCAATGCGGCTTTCAATTGCTGACGAAGAACTTTCAGATTAATGCAATTAAAATTGGCTTTCTGTCGACTAACAATAAACCGTTGAGAATAGCAAATGTGTGCCAAAGCAGATCCAGACTTCTGGCATCAGTTAAGACCAATTAACAGCATCGTTGCGACACTAAATCAAGGAAAATAGTTCCAAGGCGTGCAGCAAACATAAGGAGGAAAATGTCAGCCACTCAGCCGAAGGATACGGCATTGAAGACTACGGAGTCGCCGGCTGAAGCAGCAGCCCCTCTGGCCCCACTCACTGCCAAAACAGCAGTAGCAACGCGGAAAACTTTAACCTCCAGCGCGGCTTTGTCATTGTTTGATCAGCTGAAAAACAGCGTCAATGTAAACAGTTTGACAATTGGCGCCGGCGTCAGCAACAACAGTAGCCCAGAAGCCACTCCATCTAAAACAGCGCCAGCCAGTGCACCCGCCGCCACAACCACACCATCCACACCACCCACATCCAAAACCCCCTCTCCGTCCTCCAATATCGAACTGAAGCCACCGGCCAAGCCCGCGCGACCCTTCACCTCGCCCAGCACCATTGGAATCGTGCAGGGCACCAAACGGGGGCCGGGCGGAGTGGGAGTCGGGCTCGGAGCCCAAGCAGCCAAATTGGATATAAACGCATTGCGATCTCAGCTCTATCAGGGCGCCAGGAAGACTGCAACAACAACTCGAGTAGGAGTCGGCCAAGCCACAACCGTGACAGCAGCCCCCAGAACAACTGGAGGAGAACGCGGGACAAAGGGGTCGAAGAAGCGCTGTCTGGATCGGTACGACTCGTCGGAGTCATCAGACAGGTGAGTGAGCATGTTGTGGCCACAGTAGTGAAGTCTGCAATTCTGCAGGAGAGGGACAGTTCTAGGTTGTAATCCTAATTTGAGTTTATTTATGGTTGATGGCAATGTCTCTTTTTGGAGCAAATTTATGCCAAGGTAACAATAGGTAATCTTACAAAAACTACTTCATACACAATTTTTATTATGGTTAATAATAAAAAACAGGTTTAGTATTCGCAACAAAGACATTCAATAGCAGTTTACCCCGCCCTTCCCCATAAACGCCTTTAATGCCTTCATTAAGCGTCTTAACTAGATGCACGGCCTGGCTATAAACAGAAATGCAAGAGTGCATCTGCGAACCGGCTAGCTGTGCCAAGTCTCGGCCAAAAGCGAATGCTCTAAATATACACACGCGCTGCACTGCCAAAAAGTGAGCCAAAAGTGTGATCTGTAAGACACAAATAGAATGCAGCCCATCACAATCCCGATAAACGCATGAAGCAAATCTGCAATGCCCGCGAGATCTGGAGAACCTAATGGCCGATTGAGCTGAATTTATCGGACAGGTAATCGTTTCAATAATTGTGCAGATCTGGAAAGTGTCCGTCTTGTAAGGGCGCACGAGGCACGCGCCTCATAGATTGCAAATTTATGGCTTACAGATACATATGTATCTACTCAAATGGCAAGCCACAAAACCTCTTGCCGCAATGCCAACTAATTTCCGCTCATTAAAAATGCGCAGCACAGTAGAGGCAGCAGCGGAATGGAAACAAAGGAAGAGCAAAGGCCGCAACGGACTGCAGGCATTTGTATCTGGCAGATACGCACAACATGCGTTCATTTATCAGCCGCAAATGGCGGCTGATGCGCTGCAGTGGCAGAGCTGCTGATTTTCCATATGTGGCGCGTGGGCGGTTGAGCAAACGTCGGCGGCTTCCTGGCTGCATCGATGTAGATATAGATGCAGATACTCGTCCCTACCCCGCTTTGGGGAAAATTAATCTGAAAAGTGGATGGTGCTCTGCGCCTGCCGATCTGCTGCCCAACTGTCGATTATGTGTAGGTTATGTTTCGGTATTTCTGAAATGGTTCTGATTCCACACATATCTACTATCTATACTATGCTAATGGGGCATTTGTATCTGGTTTCGCAGCAGCATGTTCCAAATGTTTTGTGGGCAGCGTTTTGTCAACTAGCCTCGTCACCTCATCACCCCCCAAGATCGCATTCCCCCGTCGACTGGTGAGTGATTCGGGTTGCTCCTCTTCGTTGGCAGTCGGAAATCATTTAAACTTTTGGTCGTTGAACTCTTTTTGATTTATTTATTTTGTTTGTTTCTGTTTCTGTGTCTGTTTTTCTTTCCTTTTTGGTTTTTGTCGCCGCCAAAAGCACTGAATCTTCTTGTAGCTTTGTTTTCCATCATTTTGTTTGTTTCTGCCAGGCAGGTTTTATTTTGATTTCGTTGCGTTTCGGCCGCGTCTTTGCACTGCGACTAGCATTTGCATCTTGGCAAAAAGGCTGCATTTTTGAACTAAACTCTCTCGTTTGCTGGCTCGTTGCAACTTGTGCCAGCCCCAAGCGAACCTAAGCCACAAAAAACAATCCTCTTCCCACTGAGCGTAGCCATTAAATGTATTTATTTTCAGAAAGCAACAAAAATAAAAATACATACATATGTATGTACGTATGCATTTGAGTAAGCCAGCAAGTAACATCCGCAGCCTCGAAGCGGAGGCATTTAACTTTAATTGTCGCTCATAAAGCTGAAACACAACTGCAAGAGTAACTGCCTACTTCAGCACCACAATTGTTGCTGCTGCAGTTGCAGGCGTCGCGTTTGTTTTTTGCATTGTCGCCGGGCTGAGCGAGTGTGTGTGCTATTGATTTTGTCGACTTTGGTCTTACAGGTTTTCCACGTTTTTCCACATACCACGTTTTCCACGAGACCCCGAGAGCGACCCACTGCTCCAATGGCGCGAGTCTTTGCTTTTGCTTTTGCTTTTGCTCTTGGGTTTGCTGATTGTGGGCTGCTGCTGCTGCTGCTGCTGCGGCTGTTGCTGTTGCACTTTTCGCCAAGTCATGCACGGCGGGCAGCGGGCGGCAGGAAGACAATCACCCTGAGATATTGTGTAATCGCCCACGTTGATTTATCTCGTTTAAGTGACTCCGAAGCGGCAGCACAGCACCAGCAATTGCAGTTGCAATGACAGCGGCAACATCGCGCGATGACATCGAAAGTGTAATATAATAAGTTGCAATTGCCAGTGTTTGTATCTCCTTTTGTTGCCGTGGGTCGTGTACTTGGAGTGGTCGTGCTTCTGATGCTATTTGCCATTTCTTGGCATCGCCATTGGAGGCTGCTTTTTGGCCTTTTATCATTCTATATTTGAGCTAGTCAAGTTTTTGAGGCACTGCTGCACTCTTGAATATGCTGGCCAACTTTTAATGACACTGGACGCGCTCGCGGAAAATCACAACTTTTTCAAAAGAGCCAAATAAAGGCTCTTGAAACTACTCGGAAACTCTTCCTCTAAGATTGCTAAATCCTTTATCCGTCTACTGTTCAAGAAATTTTCTTTCCAGAAGGTTGATATGTACATATGTTGCGTTATAGACATTGAAGACAACCTTTATATCACGTTTCGTTCGGCAAGGAAATAAACATCTAGTCCATATCCAAACATTTTATTGAGAACATTTTAAATACCAATGCTTATGTAATCGCTTATATGTAAAAGGTTAAAGAGTCTATCTAGCCATAAATTCTCCGCATCCGTATCCGGAAATACAAGTGCTATATGGTTGAAGTAGGTGTTGTCAGAACTTAGCCTTTCCCATTTGTACACCCGCCAAAACGGGCACACTATTCAAAATAGTTCAGATTTTCAGTGCTGGGAAATGTTTCGCATATTCCTGCTCAAAGTGCTTTAAGTGCTCAATTGAATTCAAGCCAGGAGATTAGGCTGATCAAAAAGTTGTATGTCCTGGAACTTTAAAGGCGAAAAAGATCGAAAGACTCATAGAAAAGGAAAGGAAATTTATTTTTTAACATGACTCGTACGTTTTATTCGCTCTGCTTTTTGGTATGTATCCATCGCCATCCATGTAACAGGTATAAGTTATTCGAGGCAATCGACTATGGGGATCCTCTGTTTTTAAAGTGTACCCTATGCTTTTTGCTTTAGTGTTTTCTTTGTACATTTTTTATACGTTCTGCTGCAGTCTTCGCGTGCTGGTTCTTTGGCGGGATTCCCAGTATTCTGCTTGAATGCGAGCCCCCTTTTCGCCGACTCTGTTTCAGTCTGTCCTTGTTGCACCTCCTGCTGCCCTGTCTGCCCTTTTAGTTTTTGTTCTCCACTTGTGTGCTGCATTCCGCTGTTGTCGTTTCTGGTGTGTTAGCTGTGATACCCTGCAATGGGAGATTAACTGTGTGTTAGTTCCATTTCCAGTTGAGACTACGCGGTATAATTTTGCGAACAGATGTCTCAAATAGGCGCAATCACTTTTAGTATGTACGACCGAATATTATTATATTGTGAATTGTTATTAATGCAACACAATCAAGTTAAAATCCTCTTGTTCAAGGCACTCTCGAATTCGTATGCCTTTTGCTAGCAAAACCCTCCGTGCCCCCGCATGTGTGAGTGGTTGTGTGAAAAGCAGTTTAAACACGAAATTAGAGCCTTCCCCCTCCGTAGTGCCCGATTTCCCCTAGGGGAGCGCATTAAGTCGTAATAAATGCTGCCTGGTTGCATGCTTTGTACATTGACCTCAAAACGGGGCAAAGCCGCCGTGCCCGCGCCCCTCCGCCTGCCACGCCTCTTTGGGCTGTATCTCTTCAGCTGGGATGCTGCTCCCTTGTTGTTGCATTGTTTCTGTTGCTTGTGTTGATTTTCGTGCACATTTTGCTAAATAGCTTCTATTTACGTTCCACGGAAAATGCAATTCGCAATTGTAGAATGCAGACTCTTTTCGCCGCTTGCAGTTGTTTTCCCTGCTCGCACGCTACTTTGTCTCTACAAACAATGGCCACAAGGATGGAGGACGGGGTGGCGACGGCGGGCGGACTAGTTGCAGTACGTGCGCGACTTTTCGGGGCCATAAATCAAAAAGGCAAAACCCGAAGCCGGTCTCAAGCTGGGTTTTTTTTGGGTGAATTCGGCGCTGGGGGAGTGAAAGCAGCTATTAGGAAAAATTAGGCGAGGGTAATGCCAGAAAATGTGTGAAATAGTACGATTTAAGAGCAAATTTTTTCGCCCGCCTTACGAGAGTTGAAGTGTGCGATTACACTAATATTATTTCGAGTTTTCCGTAGACAAAATCGTAAAAAATCTTTAAATTATATCTGAAAGTAATGTATACATCATTATATTATTGCCCGTTCCTCGAAACGCATCGTATCCGACCCAGATCATCCGTTTATCCGCCACTCTGTCTGTCCGCCTGTCCGTATGAACATCTGTCCGTATGAACATCTAGAGCTCGGGACCGTTGTGCTTATAGTCTAGAATGTTAAAATTTACATTTAGTTTACCTATCAGTGCCTATCGAAATGCAAGGAACATGGCAAATCACCTGGCGCTATACATTACATCAAAATAATAAGTAGATGTCCTTATAGCGCTCCACAAATAGGTTTCAGGCGGAACCTCAATTCCAAGTAATCTATCTCGTTCTCCAGCATATTCATTCGTTCAACTCTTTAATTAGGGCCGTCGAGACAGGAAGTGCCATCCAGACAACTCCACGGGCCTGCCACACCGCCCCAAATATTCCATTTAGGGCCTGCCCCAAGAGCACATTTGTGCAACAGATGCATAATTTATGCATCGCTTACACATCTCATGTGCAAATCGACGCGCCAGAATCATAGTGTGCCAACCCCGTTGGAAAGAAAACCAACAAACCGACAACTTAATGGCATTCTAATGCCGGCCACCAAAATCAAAATCGTATTATCCAAATGCCTGGATGCTGTGCCCGATTCGCATCTATTTTCTGAGCGCACTTTTGGACCA